AAAAATCACGGAAATTCTTCTGACTTTAATTTTTTGCATTTAGTTTAGTTGCAATGCTCAAAGATCGTTGGTAGTCCTAGCATCGGTAAAAAGGCTGTTTTGCAGAGCTTTCCTGTTGCATTGTTAGACTTGAATTTGATTTAATTTTATTATTTGAAAATCAATTCAACTCAAATTTTCCCTATTCGGAGCGCAATTTGAAAAAATGTAAAATGATATTTAGTAATTCCCGGTAAACATATTTTTGGAAATTTAAAGGAAAACATAGGTTTTTCTTAATAAGTTTTCATTCTTTAATATTTTATCCACCATTTCCATTTCGTGATTTCATACGTCTTGCTCTTAATATCCCTCTGCTCTCAGTTGTCAATTATCCCCTGACTAAGGTTACTAAGTATTGCAAATTTATTTCTAGGGACAATAAATTTCCTTCCTTAAATTTTAGGTTGCTCAAAACTTAGCTTATTAATCGAAAATAGTCCAACAGCTTACTGCTCTTTAAAGATAGAAAGTTTGGGCCTTAAAATGACATATCTTGGAATCTAAGTATAAAGATACAGTTCATAGAAATCCAGGTAGGCAGCTGCCATTAAGAACTCAAGGTACACTCAACATTTAGGAACGTCAGTTGCCCAGTAAGATTGCAGGAAAACGCATTGTTAATTTTGTAATAGAAATAACGGGAAACAATTTGATAAAACGCCAAACGGTAACGAAAAGAAACGATTTTTTTCGCGTTTGCAATTTTTTGATTGTCAAATATGAGCTTTAAAATCCCCTGATTGATTTTTGTTCTGACACTGCGAAATATCCAATTAAGTGCGAATAGTAGTATATTTATGTAGCGGTGATTACGCCCGACCTCTCGCTATGGAAATACCTAATTTCTCTTAATTAATTCCACACATTAACTCCTAAAGATGTTTACATATTTAATTAGGATACCAAGTTGGTGTAAATCAACTAACAAGAAACTATAATTTTTTCGTATTCAAATTGTAATCTGATCTGATAGTATTTGTTAATCTTGATATACAACAAATGTAGGGTTCAAGGCTCCCATGAGTTAATCCCACGAATTCACCAATAATCTACAAGGTGAGCTAGAAAAAACGCACATACAAGTGAGCGAAATAATCCATTATAAGCACCCTGTATAACAGAACAGACATTTCTCCAATGTTAAGTACATTACGATTTTTTTTGTCTGGACATTGATCCATTCTTATATTAATTTTGAACGGTGTAGTCACTGATTACAAACGAACAGTTCTAATTTACGTAACGCGGATTTCGTATCGCCCAAAGCAATCGACCAGGTCTGTTTGTGGTTCACAGTACGTTGCACAAAATAAATATTTGTCAGTTACGTTTCAGCAGTTGGCAGAACTATTATTTAAAAAATCGTTAGACAATAATTGTTAATCTGAGAACAAGATAACAATGGTACCTTGAGTTGTGTTTTTGTTCGGAGTGGAACACCTCGAAGTATTCGCCACTTTCTCTCAGTATGTAAATGTACAGGGTGTAGCAAAAAATGCGTGTACTTTAGAGATTTATCGTACTCATTGAAATAAACAAAGAAGCTTCTATAAATGTATATTCTGTTTGTATTGAAGTAAATACAGTGTAATAATAAAATTCATTAATTCAGTAGCGTAACGTAGAAATTTCTCCAAAAAATTCTATTTAAAATTAATTGTATTTGTAACGAAACAATGTCTACACATGTTTGTTAACGAACAGATACAGGTTTTTCTATTTATTCAACTGTATAGTAAGTTTATTTTTATTTCTTTTTAGTATTCGTTTTACGAATAAAGTTTTTATTTATAATGTTATTTTAATTCACCTGAATTTATAGATTTTCAGAAGAAATAATCACTGATGTTGATTTTAGAGATTTTTAGAGAAGGTGTTTCTCTGTATCTCGGATATTGGTTGATATATTTACGTCAAACCTTTTTAGAGATATTTGCTACTATTTTAAAAAAGTATGCATTCTTGTGACTTGCAAAGGAAGCAAATTTGGATTAAAATATTTAGTTCAAATGTCATACGTATTTTGGCCTCAAGATTATCTTGTAGTTATTGTTAACATATATGGAGTTCAAATTAAAAAAATATACACCTAAATATCATCTGAAAAAGATATTGGCATGAAGTCAAGATATCATTTTCATAATAATAAATTCAAGAAATATTTTTTTAAATTACATTTATATTTTTTTCAGGAATAATATATTTATATTTACAATTTTTAGGAAAATGTAAATGGCATAGTTTAAATACATGCCACTGGTTTGATTTTTTTACTGATTTTCAAACAGCGTCTCAAATTTCTCACAATTCTGTTTTTTAACAGATAATTTGAATATTTTCGGGGTCTACATTATGTACCTACATTTTTATTTTCTCTTTTCATTTTGCTGATTTATTAGTTAAAAAATTAATTTATTTTATTTTGAAAACCCTTTTAAATTAAATTAAATAATACGTCATTAGCTAAATTTAATTAATTAATTATTTATTTAGAAGTTACAATATCCAACGGGACAAAGTTCCAATTACGGGATAAGGTAAAACAGAAAACCTTAACTAAATTTTAAAAGAAAAAGACAAACTAACATTAAATATAAAAATATAGATACTACATAAAATAGAGCAATCAAAATATAAAATATAAAATCCACACAAAAAACTTAAGTATAAACAATAACAGATAAATAAAACAAATAAGCTAACTAACATATACAAGATAAGGATTACATTTGCTGGACAAACAATTTTTTTATGTCATTCATAGAATATAAAAATATATCAAGTCGATCTTCGATTTAAAACTTATAATAAAAATGTATCACTATTGTGTAAAAATGAATGTAATCACATTTAAAAAATAAAAAATAATTTCTTAAAAATAATAATATAAGATAAACAGAATTATAAATTTAATTTAAGATAAAATTATTTTAATTTATTAAAGTTGGGAAACAATAATTTTAAGCATGTGCTTTTTTTGTNAATATAAAATCCAGACAAAAAACTTAAGTATAAACAATAACAGACAAATAAAACAAATAAGCTAACTAACATATGCAAGATAAGGATTACATTTGCTGGACAAACAATTTTTTTATGTCATTCATGGAATGTAAAAATATTTCAGGTCGATCTTCGACTTAAAACTTATAATAAACATGTATCACTATTTTTTTAATGCCAGACTTTTTTACTAAATAAATAGACACCTATTTAATTTTCAACAATTAACATGTTTTTCAGTGTGCTTTGAATGCATAGGCATAGCTACGGTGGGGCAGAGTGGGACGCTTGAACCCCCTGGTTCATTTAATGAAGAAAAAAGTATAAAAAAAATGTTACGCCGGTAAAAATGACGATTACATTTAAAAAATAAAAAATAATTTCTTAAAAATAATAATAACTGATAAACAGAATTATTAATTTAATTTAAGATAAAATTATTTTAATTTATTAAAGTTGGGAAACAATAATTTTAAGCATGTGCTTTTTTTGTCACATCCCCGGACATAAATGTAAATTACTTTGTATTAAATTATTTTTCAAATTAAATATATTTTGTATAAATTATTTGAAATTATTAGGTAATATAAAAAAATATGTTTTACCGTTTAAATATCATCGTCAGCCAGGTTTTTTTTTATGATTTATATCTTCTGACGTGTCTATTTTTACAATGATTTTCCAATATCAAGATTTAATTAATAATAAAACTTTAAAAAATATTTTTTAACGTTTTCAAATGGTTAAATATAACCATTTTTTAATAAGTAGTTTATATTACGTCCCCTAGAAAGAATCCTGGCTACGCCCTTGGTTCAATGTATCCATTTCTGAATGGGTAATTGTATAGTAAGAAACTTTCCTGATTCCTAGAAGATCCAACAGGTAATGCGTTTCGAATTCATATTTTTATTGAATGGGAGGTTGTAAAGGTCAAATGGCACCTGTCTGTGATTCCAAATTCCGTAACAGCCAGGCGAATGAGGAGGTATAAATAATAAAGTCAAAAAGACACTCTAATACTTAATGCAATTCAGATTTATTAAAGATACCGCACGTTCACAATAAAGAAGCACTGTTAAACAGTAATAACGCGAAGATAAAATATAATACCAACAATTAATTCGGTTGTACTGTACAGATGTATTAGATGCTTTCCTAAAAATAAAAACAAAAAAAAATGGTCCCTACAATAGATTTACGAGCTAAACCCGGTCCAACTGACACACTCATAAATATTGTTTATGTTTAGCTGGATGTCCGAGGCACAGGTGAGCTGGCAACGCCGACAGGTTACCATTGGATCGTATTACTCCTCCCCAGGTAAATTCAAGAATAGAGCTTAGTTCTTCAGTTGAGCTTACGCGCGTGTGGCGTGCACTACCGTGACTTTCACCTCGCCAATTCGGACTCTCTGTGCACATGTGAAGTCAACTACCGCGACGCGAGTCGAAATACAATAACACGGACGTCGTTTGTGAGCCGATTTACCAGCCGCCGTCCATTCAACCGGCCCGGAGGATTATAAACCTGCGGATTTTAACTCGACGCGTTGAATTCGGTCCAGTGCATAAAACCCCGGATCGGGAATCAGTAAAACAGAGTGGTGAGTTTGAGTGGTGGCCAGCCCCGGTTCTGTGACAGTGCCCCCCTGTTTAAAATCCCAGTTTGTTTTCGTAGAACCTCGCTCAGAAGATCCCGTCTGTAGCCGGCCATATTGCATACCACGCTGACAGAGAGCCGGCCCGCCTGGCATGCGAGAGCAACAGAGAGGCCCGTTCTCTCCAGAGGCTGAACAAGTCGATACGCGGGGCACGGTGCTGAGGAATGTTAGAGCTCTTCAACGTCTAACACACGTGTAGCGGGACGAAATGTTACATTTCATCTAATAGAGACGGGTCGATACGAATCTGGACTGAAGTATGCCCCGATAGTACAATTAAAAAAAAAGCGAGATGTGGGGCTTACCGTGTTGGCTGTTGACCGCGAGCGCGATCCTGTTCGTGGGGGCGCAAACCCCCGGACCAGGCCCCGGCACGAGACGCTCCCCGCCCAGGGAGACGACCTACGGGTACTCGGCCCAGATGCAGTCCAGGGCCGTGGATACGCGCGTCACCCTGGAGATCCTAGAGGGCCAACCCAAGGGCACCGTCGTGGGGCGCATTCCCACCAAGCCGGGGTTCACGTACCGCTTCAACGAACCACCCCGGGAGTTCGTCCTCGAGCCCAACACGGGGGAGATCAAGACGAACGCAGTATTAGACAGAGAGACTTTAAAAAACGACAGGTATGATTTAGTGGTGTTGTCTAGCCAGCCGACCTACCCCATAGAGGTCCGGATCGTGGTCGTGGATATAAACGATAACCCCCCGGAGTTTCCGGAGCCCAGCATCGCCGTATCGTTCTCGGAAAGCGCCGCGGCGGGCACCAGGCTTCTCCTAGACGCCGCCAGTGATAGGGACGTGGGGACGAACGGGGTGAGCGACGACTACAGGATCATAGCCGGGAACAAGGACGAAAAATTCAGACTAGTCGTGACGGCCAACCCCACGGGGGAGACCTCGTACCTGCACCTAGAAACCACCGGGAAATTAGACAGGGAAACTCAGGGCTTTTACACGCTTAACATTTCTGCCAGAGACGGGGGCAACCCCCCCAGATACGGGTACTTGCAAGTCAATGTTACTATATTAGACGTCAACGACAACCCGCCGATTTTCGACCACAGCGATTACAGCGTGTCATTAAACGAAAGTGTACCACCTGGTACCCCAGTTTTACAAGTAATGGCTACCGATAATGACCTGGGAGATAATGCGAAAATTACCTACTACCTGGCCGACACGGAGCGGCAATTTACTGTGGATCCGGAGACCGGAGTGATTTCTACGACTGAGCTGTTGGAGTGCCCCCAGCAGCAGAACTGCCCCCAGAGCAGCAAGGGGGGCGGCTGTCCCAAGAGCTGCGTGTTCACTGTTTTCGCCAGGGACCACGGCTCGCCCCGGCAGGACGGAAGGACGTACGTCACCGTGAACCTGGTGGACGCCAACGACCACGACCCCATAATAAAATTCAGGTATTTCCCCGCGACCGCGGGGTTCGCTACAGTGGACGAAAACGCCGGAAATGGATCTGTCGTCGCGGCGGTGTCCGTCGTGGACCAGGATGAGGGTCTCAACGGCGAAACCAGCGTGAAAATTGTCTCGGGAAACGAACTTAACCATTTCAGGTTAGATTACACCCCCAGCTTCGACATAGTGAGGGTTAACGGGGTGCTGGACCGCGAAGAGATATCCAAGTACAATTTGACTGTCGTGGCGACAGATAAAGGCGCACCCCCACGAACCGCCACGGCATTTTTAATAATCCACGTGAACGACGTGAACGATCACGAGCCGGTGTTCGAGAAGAGCGAATATTCCGCCATCCTGAGCGAATTGGCGCCTCCAGGCACTTACGTTGCGGGAATCACGGCTACGGACGAAGACAGTGGTGTGAATGCTCAGATATACTACGCCTTTGTGTCGGGCAATGAAAATCAGTGGTTTTCTATTAACGTGGACTCGGGGCTGATAACGACCCGCGCCGCTTTAGACAGAGAAGTTCAGGGTTCGGTGGAGTTGAACATATCAGCTAGAGACGGAGGACCAAATCCCAAATGGGCGCACACTCAATTAAAAGTGACAATCCTGGACGAAAACGACGAGGCGCCGGAGTTTTCCCAGTCCAAAATCAATGTTAGTCTCTCTGAAAGCGCTCCACCAGGTACACTGGTGGCTATGTTAACGGCGTCTGATCACGACCAAGGCACTAATGGCAGCGTGGCTTATTCTTTACACCCCGCGGTGCTACAACGCTACGAAAACACATTTGCGTTGGATTCGCTAACGGGACAACTTACGACTAAAAGAAAACTTGACAGGGAGGAGATGTCTAGCTACGAAATTTTCGTGATAGCCAGGGATCAAGGAATGCCGCCGCAGTCGTCGACAGCTACAGTTTACTTGAGTGTTTTGGACGTAAACGATAACAATCCCGAGTTTTACCCACAAAAATATTTTATACCTGTTTCTGAAGACGTCAAGCCAGGCACTTCTATTTTAAAAATAACCGCGACTGATAAGGACGAGGGTGAAAACGCCATGATAACTTTCAAGCTGGAAAGCGGCGGAGATAATCTGTTCTCAGTAGACGAATGGACCGGAGTGATCACTCTACGGGGGAACTTGAAAAGTTCCTCAAAACCCATACACAGGCTGAAAATATCAGCGCAGGATCACGGCGACAAGCGCGCCGTCGACGACGCCACCGTAGAAATCATAAAAGAAGCCTACATGGAAGAGTTACACTTTGACAATTATGGGGGATATGATTTCCAAATCGTGGAAGACCACAGCGGGTCGCCTGCGAATAAAAGAAGGGACGTTGGCACAGTGCACGTAAGAAATAGTGATGCTACCTACTCTATAGTGTACGGAGATCCAAATTATAATTTCGACATAAACGAAAACACGGGAAAAATTACAACGGCCAAGAAAATTGACAGGGAACAAACCCTCATGTACAGCCTGACAGTGGTGGCGCGAGTGGGGCTCTCCTACGGCAAAACAACAGTGAATATTGTGGTGCAAGACCTAAACGACAACAAACCCGTGTTTCTGAGAGACAAAGAGGAAATAAAAATTTTAGAAAACGCCGCCGTGGGTCAAGAAGTATACTTGGCGCGAGCCAGAGACCTGGATTCCGGCATAAACAGTCGAGTTACCTACAGCCTGAGCTACAACCCAGAAGAGCAGTTCAGGATTTCAGAAGCGACCGGCGTGATTTATTTGAACAGGCCCGTCCGGGCCGATCCCGGCTCGCTCTTGCACGTCGAGGTAACTGCCACGGACGGCGGAGAGCCGCCGCTTTCATCGAGACACTCCATAATGATAACCGTGGAGGATGTGAACGACCACACTCCCGTGTTCGATCACACGTCGTACGAAACGTCGCTGTTGGAATCCACGCCCGTCAACGAGAGGTTCTTCGCCTTGGCCGCCAGCGACGCCGACTTGGACGCCAACGGGCGCATCTCCTACTCCATAACGGAAGGAAATAACGAAGGGAAGTTTGGAGTTTTCCCTGATGGATTTCTCTACGTTAGAAAATCGTTGGATAGAGAGGATAAGGATTACTATTCGCTGACTGTGACGGCGAGCGACGCCGGCAATCCCCAGAGGTCCTCCGTGGTGCCCGTGGTGATCCACGTGATTGACGAGAACGACAACAGCCCCGAGTTCACAAACACCACGTTCACGTTCAGTATTAGAGAAAATGAACCGCCCGACTCCTTCGTAGGGAAATTGACGGCGGCCGACCGGGACATTGGCCGGAACGCCGAACTGATCTTTTCGCTGTCGAGCCTGCAGAATGACTTCGCCGTCGACCCGAAGAACGGCTTCATAAAAACCCTACACGTCTTCGATCGCGAGGAACTGGTGCAGAACACGGGTCAGAATTTTATGACTCTGGAAGCCGCCGTTACAGACAACGGCAGCCCGAGGCTACGCGATAAAGTTAAAGTCAACGTGTACGTCACCGACGTTAATGACAACCCCCCGAAATTCCTGAGGGCCCCGTACAAAGTCCAAATATCGGAGGGATCATCGGTGGGGGCGCAGGTCCTCAGACTCTACACCTCCGACGCCGACGAGGGCCTTAACGGGGACGTGTACTACTCGATAGTAGGCGGAAACGATGATAGCCGCTTTGAAATCGATGAGGCCACCGGACAAATAACATTAGCTCGCTCCCTGGACCGAGAAACCGACTCGAAGTACACACTAACCGTTGTGGCGCACGACGCGGGGCTCACGAAACAATTAAGCTCCTCCACGACGGTGTCGGTGGACATCCTCGACGAGAACGACAACGCTCCCGAGTTCACCCAGACCGACACGAAAATATCGGTGAACGAGATGACCCCCGTCAACACCGAGCTGATCCAGTTCAGGGCGTCGGACGCGGACCTGGGCGTCAACAGCGAGGTAGTGTACTCGATAACCGCAGGAAATAGAAAAGACACCTTTCACGTGGACGCGATGACGGGAGTGCTGTATTTACATAAACCGTTAGACTACGAAGAGCTGAGCGCCTATCAACTCAACATCACCGCGTCTGATAATGGCAACCCGCGATTATCTACCACTATTTTGTTCGCCATCGCCGTCCAAGATGCCAACGATAATCCGCCGTCCTTCCCGAGCACGGCGATCGTTAGACAGATCCGTGAAGGCATCCCGGTGCACACCCCCATAGTTACCGTGACGGCCGATGACCCCGATTCCAGCCTCAACGGCAAGGTCACCTACGCGATCTCCTATCAGGACCCCGAGGACAGTAAACGCCACTTCGGCATCAACCCCATAACCGGAGTCATACACACCCTACTGCCCATCGACAGAGAAACCATAGACACCTTCAGGCTAACGGTCGTGGCCACGGATCAAGCGGAACCCGCCTCCAGCAGACTATCCGCCGACAAGTTAGTGACAGTGATAGTGGAAGACGTCAACGACAACGCTCCGATCTTCGTGTCGATGAACGCCGCGATCCTACCGAAAATGAACTCCAAGGCGGACAAAAGCAGCGTCACCATCATGACGGTGTTCGCCAGGGACCTGGACTCGGCCACGAACGGCCTGGTGACCTACGAACTGGCCAGCGGCAACGGCGACCTCTTCAGGCTGGACCAGAGCACGGGGGCGCTGAAATTGCGGAGGCCCATCCCCAACCCCGAGCCGACGTACCGGCTATCCGTGAAAGCCACCGACGAGGCCGTGCAGAGCGAAAGAAGATCCACGGAGGCCTACCTGACGGTGATAGCCACGAACGAGGAGGAAGCGGGGCCCAAGTTCGACAGTGATCTGTTCACGGGGAGCGTGTACGAGAACGAACCACCAGGGACGAGTATTTTAACGGTGTCCGCCAAATATCATTCAGGTGAAGTGGAGTATTACGTAACGAATGTCACGGGCGGCGGTGTTCAGGTTGACAGATTGTTCGATATCGACACCAAACTGGGAGTTTTGTCGACTGCGACGGAGCTGGACAGGGAGCTGGGCGTCGATATGTACGAGATCGAGGTTTATTCCATCGTCACCGGCGTTGGGGCGCTCAAGACTTCCAAGACAAAGGTGAGAAAGTCTCCTTAAGTTGCAAATTTTGTTTCGTAGGAATAAATCCGGAAATATGTAAATTAATTCGATTTCTAAACTGAAAATAATGATATCTCTCTTCAAGGAGATCAAGAACAGTATGAGATTAAAATAAAGACGAAACAAGCTTTTGAATTACATGAAAACACATTTACTTCTATTCTGTGAGCTGGTCTCGATATATTTTATATTCTTGTTGAAAATCCGAATGACTGTAGATGTGATGAGAAAATTAGATTCGCTTTTAATTCAATATAAAAATGTTTTATTTTCTTTCCTACACCGAAAAAACAATTACTTTCTATTGAAGGAATGCAGTCAGTTTACATTTATGCTAGTTACATTGAGATAAACCAGTTACATTCAATACAAGTCATTTGATTTGTTTGATTTAAAAAAATAAACAGTTTACCAGGTCTGTCTATAATTAACAAATTAGATTTAATATAACCATTTATGATTTTAGAATATTTGTTAGGCGAATTAAAGTAATACATTTTTAACACAAATTTACATTCGTTTTTATTTAAGAAATATTATTTCATATTGGCCTATCAAACGTTACAATTAAACTTTAAAGTAAAATTGTTTCAAATATGTATATAATTTCTTAAATGTGAACCAGTTAGTTATAAAAGTTAAATTGTTATATAGTTTAAACTTTTATCAGTTCAGTAGTGAAAAATATTATTTAAAAATACTCCAATCGCGTGACCAAGTTATGTTCTCCCCTAACAGTCGTGTTTGCTATGATGACGAGTAATACATAGTCCAGTAGGTAACTATGGACTATAACAATATATCTTCTTGTTGTTGTTGTTAGATCATATTCATAATATAACTTGCATATAGTTACACAGTGCTGTATTTCGTTTGCTCCTAATTAAAATAGATGCAAAAACTGTGGAAGTTAGGGCCAAACAAGTAATGATCGCCATTTTTTTTCGCGTCTCTTGTGAAAATATATTAGTTTATCATGTTTTAAAAGCCCCCTCAAAAAATCAGCAAACAAAAATTTTTTTTAGAGGTCGCTCCAGATTTTTAAAAATTTCCAAAGCCGCCAAAAATTGAAATTTTATTTTTAATATTTTTTCTCGTTATTTTATCATTTTCTAGGTTGTAAAAAATCTCGATTCTGAAAATTTCAAATCGATATTTTAATGTATAAAGGTCACTCATAATTATTTTAACTTTCAAAGTAGTATACCTACCTATCGTGTGTTCGAGCGACCTCTAAAAATAAATATCAACGAACTAATAATTTTTTATTGAACTTGATGAACAAAATAATAGAAATAAATCACGAGACACTTTCTCGAGGAAAAATTTACTACCGCATGGGTATCAAATATTTGTAATTTTTTAATTTTTTAAAATCTAAGTGTCCCGTGATTTATTTCTATTCTTTTATTCATCGAATTCAATAAAAAAAAATTAATATTTCGTTGATATTTATTTTTAGGTCGCTCGAAAACATTTTAGGTACACTACTTTGAAAGTTAAAATAATTACTTACATTTAGAAATTAAAATATCGATTTGAAATTTTCAGAATCGAGAATTTTTCAACCTAGAAAATGATAAAATAACGAAAAAAAAATTTTTTTAAAAATTAAATTTTTGACGATTTTGGAAATTTTTAAAAATCTTGAGCGACCTCTAAAAAAATTTTTTTTGTGCTGATTTTTTGAGGGGGCTCTTAAAACATGATAAACTAACATATTTTTATAAGAGACACGAAAAAAAAATATTCGTTTTTTTTGGGCCACCCTAATGTATGTAGGTACATAATAAATTCTGAAAATCTTAAGTCTTAAAATTAAAATGAAATGTTCGAATAAAAGTATCGTACTCTTACGTGCTTCTGTATTGGTAGATCTCAGTACTATGTTCCTTTTTAAAATTTAATTAGAAACTTATAGTTAGATAAGTTATCTAATTGTCAGTTTAATTTAATTTGAGAAATAATTTTGAGACTAATCAAGAATATTAGTGAAAAAAGCAATTCACTTTTTATAAACCATTGATTTATTAATAGTAAAATAACCTATTCTCATTGAAAAACTGTTAGTTCACATTAAGTGAAGATATATTTCTAATAATTTTATGTCATCTCTCTTAAAATATCTAGATTAATAATAAAGAGGCGAAATGTAATATTAAACTATAAGTAAATATATAAACTATGAACTTATTATTTACACTATACTGGGTGTAAGAAGTATGACTGTCATAATTTCGGCATGAGATAGGGTAATCATAAATGAAAAAAAAAGTTATATACTTATTACCACACCACCTTTGCACGTGGCAGACTTGTCCTACGGAAAAAATGTAAACAACTATTATTGTGAAACAGTAAATTTCAAGAATTTCAAGAATTTTGTTTTGCAGTTTTTAAATAAATAAAATAAAATGTATCGGTTTTGTAATACGAAGATAGTGTTGTGCTTAAATTTTAGCTCGAATTTTAGTAATTACGTATCTCTTAAAACAGGAACTTAACTTTTAATCAAATTAGGAATTTGAAAAATATGTAATTAAAGTACCCAAAGATTCACGTCATCCAAATAATCATACGTATTAAAAATAATTTAGGGACTTACCAAAAAGCTAAATTCAGTAATTTTTAAACGCACAACTACAAAACAAACTACAACATATGCTCAATATGGCCGTCACCATTTTCGATGCACGCGCGTCACTTTCGAATCAAATTTTCAAGTGGTACGCAAAAAACACTCAGACACGGTCCAATTCCAGATACCAACTGAATTGCGTATTGCTAGACAGCTTTTTTCAGTGTACTAGTTTATTACTTGAAGAGTTTTTTGCCGGTTTTCCGCGGCAACAGAAAACGTACCCAGTGTCCAAAAAATGCGCCCATATCAGCGGCTACGAGATATTTAATAGTGTTTAGGTATACTGACGTTATGTGTAAGATTATACCCGGACACACAAGTTTTTTTAAGCAGCGTAGTTTACATGTTCGCTCCGCCTGCCTACTATTTCAGCATAAGCTCGTCGAAAGCCGATATTACCCCAATAAACTAACAAACTAATTGCATTAAAGTCCGCAGACGCGAGCATCCACACATATCCCTTACAATACCCGCTAGAAATAAATTCATGCATTAAGGCGCGGAAAATATGGGCTTTATCCGCGCAGCGTAATGTGTGGGGTCATTTATAATTTCAATTATGTCATTATAATTGTGTTACCGATCCCCGTACTTAATGAGGGGATTAGTACTTGGGCAGCAGGTATTATAAATAATCCGATACAGTTTATAACGCGGTTGTTATTTTTTATCGGCGCACGGAGCGTTTTTAGTATCACATAAAAATGGGCGCTAACAAGTGGGTCCGCTGGGAGTTAGCGGAAGTGCCAGCGCCGAGGCATTCCTTCTCTAATGATTTGTATCGGCGTTGGGAGCGCTGCCTCGTTCCGTTGCTTTATTATTTGATTTAATAACGCCGGGATCCCGGCACAATGTCGGCCCGGATCGATTAGAAAACGTTCTTTCACGAAAAACTGTTGAGTCTCCGTACGGGTTGCGGCGCTTTCATCTCGCCGGAAAAAAATGCGCTTACAGGGTGACCAATGTTGAAGTTACCACACGCTGTCGGTCTCAGAATAAGCCGATTAAATTGAACGTAATTTTTGTTTGACGCTACACTAACAGGAACTGGAGTTTTTTTTTATGATAACTATCAAATGATATGAAATGTGACACCTAAACGCACCTGTTCACAATTTTTCGCTTAACTTATGTTCTCGAAATGCTAATTCTTATTTATTTAATGAAACTAATCGATGGGATATAGAAAATAAAAAAAAGTTTGTTAATGCGATCGCGTTCCGTGAAACGCCAAATTATTTACCAACGTTCGTAAAAACTGTGACAAGTGGACAATCGAAAATAGATTGGGATCGATTCATAACGTAGGTTCGTTGATTTACGGGTTGGCTTATTTTCGTGGACATATGTTGGTAGCGTTTTTGTATAAACAAAAGTAGCTACCTTAGTTGAAAAACTAATTATCTTTCCTTTGTCGTGAATGTGGACCCGTGAATTATATCACACTGTACATCGCGTAACAGGTAGAATATTTTAAACACATCCGCATGGTTAATTAACATAATATCAGAACATAAACATTATTAAACCGCGTGTAAAGATAAATAAAAATAATGGTGTTCAATTTGTAAATGTAGAAAAAAAATTAATGTGTAGTTTAACCTTGAACCTTGCGAAATGAATGACTTGGAAATTGGAAGTTTATTGCAGAATAAAACAGCGTTTTAAATTCCCAAAGGTTGCTGCACTAGCACTGCTTGGAAAACTGAATGATTTTGTTTAAAATGTGTTTTCAATGAAAAAAAAATGTACTTAAAAAGTTGTTAATTATTATATCATACGTCCAATATTAAATATAGTTTAGAGAAGATTAATTTTAAGAAAAGAAAATTGTATGAACGGGTTTGCTGCTTCCCGTTTACTTTGAGCTTAATTTCTATTGGTAGCGAAATAAAAATTTCAGGTGCTATGTTCTTTCCATATAAACGTCAAAATATGTTCCAAAACCTGCCCAAATGAGTGGTGTGATTTGAGACATTCAACTAGTCACTGTTTCTCGATTACATTTAATCGACGAAATTTATATAGTACCGAGCTCAATTTAAACGTACCTAGCACATAAATCGAGATACTGTCTCGAGATTTGCAACGAACGACAATCCCAGTTGGCTTTGGCTGTGCTAGATCTGACGGTCTTTCGCGGCTAATGCAGCGATTTTGAGAAATTCGCACCCGCCAGCTATTTCTCGAAAGCATTAGGCAAGAGGCATAATTCGATCTTAATACATATGGGCGTCGGAAACACGCATTATTCTTTTTATTCTGACGGCCATTAACGGTACCGGAATATTTCCCACCCTACAAATGGATAAGTGAGTAATGTGATTGTATTTCAGGC